GTCAGACAGCCAGGGAATTGCACACCAGAATCGGTGAGCATAAGCGTTCCATTAACAAACCACCGAGAAACGCAGAGGAATACCAAGCGTTAGTCAAAGATTCAGCAATGGCAGGGCATGCTCTAGACACTGGGCATAAGATAGATTTAGAAAATGTGGACATCCTGAGACGGGGTTTAAGATTCACACCACAGCGACTGGTGGCCGAGGCGGTGGAAATCGCCAAGCATCCCAGTGTGAATAGAATAGAGGGGGTAGAAGTTGCAAACGTCTGGAGAGCGGTCTTAGATCAGCCGAGATGACACGAGGCGATGTGCAGTTATCATCGAAACGGCTTGGGTCTAAAAGTACAAAACCCAAGTAGAGTTAGATCCAATTAGCCACCCCAACCCCATCCCCAAACCAATTGTCTCAGCACCTTTTGACGAACACAGGTGAACGAAATCTGTGAACGACCTCAAGAGGGATTTTTCATTAAGTTGTCCTAGACTGAAAAAGCAAGGACGAAAAATCCGGCTTCATCATGAAGACACCCCCCTCAACCAATCTATCCTAAATCTTAGTCATCCTCACTAATCAACAAACAGGAACATCAGACTGAACACACAGCACTGATCACGTCATTAGTCATAAGGAATCTCACGGATTGGTACCCTGACTGCCTTAAAACCAAATAAACCTACTTACTTACTCACTTGGCCTGACGAAGCTTTTGTGTCAAAAGCGAAAAGTTGCCCAGCAATAAATCCACCGATTGTTTACCAAACCCCTCTGAAACCACAAATTTCTTGCTTGCATACTGAGGTCACGCAACTATTATTGTCAGTATATGTTGACAGATATTATCCTTTCGATGCCGCCGGCATTCTATCTCACACAATAGCGTTACATGTTCACAGTCCACTGGTGATGGGTTGTGCTAACATGGAAACTCCTGTTTTGCAGAACCTTCAAGCATCTAGCTGGACAGAGCCCCACAAAAGTCCATTCTACCCATACCAAATTTGAGCCAGTTATCATGGAGGCAAAGGAGAATTCCTCAAATGGAAGTACGACCACTGCAAACGAGACATCCACGACCGCCACAACAACGGCGACTACAACGAGAAAAGTGCGGGTCGGGAATACGTTTGCTCACAAGAGGTACGTTCGAACAATAATGAATATAGCTGTACACTAGTGTCCCAACAGTTGTGAAGGGATGCAAACTGGTGCCCATAAGAGCAACCGGCTTGGAGGGAAGCATAGATTTTCACCTGAAACTTGTGTTATCCAAGTAACTACACAACCTCAGCTGAGTCCCATCACTCCATGTCCTGACAATGTCCTTCTACTGCAATGATTTTTCGACATACTGATTCAACACACATTTTCGGACGGCGTCAAATTTATCTGCACTAAGGTGCTATGTGATACAACCATCAAAGGGTGACCCAAAAGAGATGTTACAACCCGTGTAGAAAGACGTTTATAGCTGCACGCTGATTCCATTTGCAGGGATTCTCATATGTCCGATTTGAGCTCTCAGCCGCTACGTATGATGCGCTCTTTGTCACGAAACACATGGCTGCCTAGAGCTTCTAGACAATTCCTAAGAGGTTGTAACCGTTTTCAAGAAATACACTCATTTGCAAATCAATTTGGTTTTCACGGGAGACTCAATTGAATCTCTCTTTTATGATATCCTCCAGCTGAATGTGCTGCACACAGGCCGCCTCGTGATTCAGTTGACACGATATTCGAGATATCGCAGTCGTGGGCTGTCGAAGAGTTTCCGGCCAACTTGTGAGTAGTTTCCTCTATGAAAATATACTGTGATATCTCGAATATCGTGCTAACTGAATCATGAGGTGACCTGTGTGCAGCACAAACGAGAGATTCAATTGAGTCTCCCGTGAAAACCAAACTGATCTGCAAATGAGTGTATTTCTCGAAAACAGTGCAATTTGGGTCCAAGTAGATCATAAGGTTGACGGAAACTTGGAGACTGCGCCTACTTGATGAACCTCAAGAAGGGCGAAACCGGCAGTGGACTGTCGAAGAGTTTTCAGCAAACTTGCGAGTAGTTTCCTTTATGAAAAAAAGGTTGCAACCGTCTTGACTAATGGTTTTCAAAATCATATTACGCGTAATCGGTCTACGCTACCATGTGGAAAGAACGCATTTAAGAAGTTATATTCTGTCCGGTTTCACAGTTTGATAAAACCCACAGGAAGCAGAGGCAAACAAAAGAGTGGTAATATACCATCCTGTAGGTTCCACGATCCGACTTAACTTGAGAATATCCACAACGATTTTATTGCAAACGAATTCGGGAAGGTTTGAGCAGATGTGGGCATGTCTTCTCGACCGGTAAGTAGCGTTCTTGTTCGGCTTCTTTCCCTAATTCATTAGAAACCCCATTCCTGGAGAAGGTTAATTGTGGTGGGAGAGACGTTGATTCTCAGGTATTCTGACCTTTGATACCCCATTCCAGTCAAGTCTTGCATCTTCCGTGAACTCAAAGCCCCTGGCATAAAAGAATCCTTTATATACTGCCATAAACTGACAATCATTTGTCCACTGGCAGGACACTTCACTTGGGATCAATGTGAATATCAAGATGGTCGGGGATCGCGACTGTTTAAACGTACAAGCGGTGAATCTGTGCGTTTATTTTTGGAATCCCATCGCTGTCCAGTCAATCTATTTTTAGAAGTCGACATAATAATGATCGACTAGAGGAATATGACGATTAACATGAAATGTGTTCTACAGGCAATAAAAGGGTGTCGGGTTTTATCAATATGAGTGAGAAAGAGTACTTGATTTGCGTGGAAAACGTTTTCAATGATCGATTCCGATGAGTGGTTTGGTGAAAATGGTGCTTTGCTTTTGCAACGACGTGGACAGAAAGACAAATGGTGTTACACTTTGACTGATATAGACAAGACACCCGTTACCTCAGTTTAGTAAAATACCTAAAGAAAACAAATGCACTTGGTAAGGCGTTGTCCATCGGAAGAGATATTA